TGCACCAGAAGTTTCTGAGGAGTAGTGCGGACAAGTTTTGTGACTGACAGACAGACGGCAAGACAGATGACGGAGAAGTGATCCCTATATGTTGCCACTACTCTGAGAGGCGACACAAAAATAGACCATTAAGGGGCCATAACTGTGAAAATAAAATCAAGTAGACTATCAAGAGAGTATGTACAACTAGGCTTGGTGACATAGAATCCAGGCAAGTTTCACTGAAATCCCCAGATCGGTTTTGGTGAAGCATGGAGAAGCTAATTTTTACTTGAAAATTTACCATTAAGGGGCAATAAATGTGCAAAAAAAAATTAAGTGGAAATTTAAGATACTATGCACAACTAGGCATGGTGACAAATAATCCTGTGAAGTTTAACTTAAATCTCCCCAGTAGTTTTGGAGATGCAGCGTAGAGAAGATTTCCGGATAGACAGATGGACAGTGCAATTACCATATGCCTCTATTTGGGAGCCTAAAAATGATATTGTGCAAAAAGTAAACTTCTAACATACCAATATAAAAAGCAAAAACAAAAAACACAGTGGATGATAAGAAAAAGTGCCACATAAATTTGATAGCAGCAAAAGCATTAAAGGGATATAACTTTGTGAAAAAATCACTAAATTATAACAACCTTCTAATATCCACAGCTCCTTGCAAAGACCTTTTTGAAAGGTTGCTGAAAAGTAGTTCAAACATAATTTTTGGAGCAGACAGAAAGATAATGCAGCTTCTAAATGCAGAAAATCGACCAGTTATAAAATTGTCAAACAAAGAAATCCTTACTTTTTCATTCTGCAAACTCTTGTCATGTTTTGCCATTTCTCATGCTGGTCTTCCATAACCAAAATAAGTTTGTGTTTCTCTGGATTGAACTTGAAATCTTCATTAATAAGTACATGGAAAAATACATGTGTGTATTTTTCTTGGCGCCCTCCGCTTCCACTTGTTCTAAACATAGAAATTATTGTTATGAATTTTAAAATTAATACAATAATACAGTTTTTAAATCCATTCAACATAGTTACGTTCAAAGTTCTCTTTAAGTTGCATTCCAGACAACGTCCCATTTAGCAAAGATTTAAACAAAAACAGTCTAATGGCAGCAAGTTTGGCCCAATGACAATGCTTGCAAAAAAAAAATAAAAAAATATGCATTTCTTCATCAAGTGAGTAAAAAATGATACAGTTGGGGACAATTTAGAATAGTAGTTTAAGCAATTTATCATGCAACTGCTATGGTAACTGCCCGATAACACTTGCCTGATAATTATTTTTGATATCAGGTCAGTAACCTGATATCAAAAATAAGCCCCGCCCATTTTAACGGACTTTTTTCAATTGCTTATATTCTCATTTTTACCAGCATGTGAATTCTACAATGTAATTCATTACCCTCACAAGTCTTGATCAATGTGTGATATTTAGGCCTATTATTTCGATTTCAATTACGAATAAATTAGATAGCGAATAGTTTTAGCACCAAACTAAATGAAGTGACGTCATAATTTATATTGCAAATGACATCATCGATGTTCACGTCATCACTATACATGTAATCATAACAAACAGGCTAGACGATTTTCATTGAGATCTTGTAAATGTTTACTTTATTTCGCCGGATTATTATTCAATAAGTGAACAAATTGTTTCGTTTTAAAAAAATAAAACGCATGTTTGTGAAGCTTGTGTTTGATTGCGATTTTGACTTTTCTTTGATTGTTCAAAATTATCGTGAACTTTTGAATTTGACAATTCAAGACAAAATTGCAGTAAAGTTTAGTTTATGTGATTCTAAGTGGATTTTTGGATCGATGTTTAAATTAAAGGTAAGAATTTTATCGTATTATGCCTACATTCTGTTGTATCTTTTATCCGAGTCGAAAGAAAAAATGGCCGCCAATAACAAATTCTACTGTAAGTTTCAGGGGCGGAGGAATTTTTTTCAAGAATTATTTCTTTGAACAAAAATCCCCCTTTTTAACGAAATTCGCTATTTAAAAGTAGATAATTCTTTTATTTTGCCAGTTGTTATGTGTTACATGATAAATAGAAAAACATGCTACTGTCTTTTGATATCAATTTTATCAGGCTCGGCTGATATGGGCAGAAAGGGCTCGGCAAGCCTCGCCCTTTCTAGCCCATATCAGCCTCGCCTGATAAAATTGATATCAAAAGACAGTAGCATGTTATTCTCTATGCAAAATTCAGAATTCAATGAAGATTTCATTATACAGGTTTCAGCACTTTTTTACTTTTACTTTTAAATATACTTTCAATATTTTCATGAAAATTAGCATGAATCTGAAGGCATGATGTCTTAATAGACACACTCTTATCCAGTGAATGCATATGAGTCATCTTTGATGCTCTATGATTAACTTAATATAAATTATAAACATATAATATATACTCTTACCCTGGTGTGGAGTTTTTGTTATTCCTTTTAGTGTTCTTACTTTTTTCCTGCTGAAAATATGTTGGTATGCTTCAATTGTTTGGCAGTTTGTTATGGGTTCAATATTGACAATTTCAGAAATTAAATATGTCAAAAATTGAACAGATATTACACCATTCTTCTTTGGATAAAAACCCTAATTTTTTACTTAATTTTACAGAACTTCAACATTACTTAAATGCCGATTATTTAAGTTTTTTTTTAAAACAATTTCTCTTCCAAATAAAATTAGTGTGATTGAATATAGATGTTTTGACATTTCTTACAAAATTTGACCATCCTGACTGATTGTATTTAAAATTTTATATAGGGTTGTATCAAAGAATAGGTTTTATTTTTTATAAATTTTACAGCATTGTAATATATTGACTTGCTATTGGTCAGCTAGTATTAGCCACTAGCTGATAAGCCACGCCTAAATTCACCTGGCATCACCTCTCTGTAGTATCATTAGTAAATAGATTTAGAAACCAGACGGCTGCGTTGTTTAATCTCTCTACCCATGCTTGTCAAGTAACAATGATATAGCAGACATTACAAGCATCATTCTAAATAGCAAGGCTAGAAAATTCTATACATGTATTTAAGGTTAATCAATTTTAGTTCTATTTTGTTCTTTTCACATATTAAATCATCATTCAAAAAGGAAAAATGTTTGACATACTGCATTATCTTTCTCTTTCTTCTCTTTCTCTTCTTTCTTTTTTAGTTTTTTCTTTTGCTTGCGTGTAAGCACTCCATCTTTTTTGTTGGAATCATTTTCATCCTCATTGTCATTTTTGTCATCCTCCATGTCCACATCATTTTCATTACCATCAGCACCTTCATTTGTGTCTTGATCATCAGAGTCTTCCTTTTCTTGCATATCATCATCTTTACTATTAGACTTAACTTCTGTTGTACTGCCTGTTTGAGAATCAGTATTTTTCTTTTTGTCGATCTGAAAAAGACTGCCTTGGATTTTAGGTGGGTATTTAACCTCACCTTGATCACTTACACCCCACCTTGAGCTTCCTCCAAATACATACCCACTATCCTGAGATCTGGATCCAGATGTGGGAGTATTTGTTTGATGATCTGTTTTACCTTCTTGATTGCCTTTTTTTATTTTTTATAAATTTTACAGCATTGTAATATATTGACTTGCTATTGGTCAGCTAGTATTAGCCACTAGCTGATAAGCCACGCCTAAATTCACCTGGCATCACCTCTCTGTAGTATCATTAGTAAATAGATTTAGAAACCAGACGGCTGCGTTGTTAAATCTCTCTACACATGCTTGTCAAGTAACTATGATATAGCAGACATTACAAGCATCATTCTTAATAGCAAGGCTAGAAAATTCTATACATGTATTTAAGGTTAATCAATTTTAGTTCTATTTTGTTCTTTTCACATATTAAATCATCATTCAAAAAAGAAAAATGTTTGACATACTGCATTATCTTTCTCTTTCTTCTCTTTCTCTTCTTTCTTTTTTAGTTTTTTCTTTTGCTTGCGTGTAAGCACTCCATCTTTTTTGTTGGAATCATTTTCATCCTCATTGTCATTTTTGTCATCCTCCATGTCCACATCATTTTCATTACCATCAGCACCTTCATTTGTGTCTTGATCATCAGAGTCTTCCTTTTCTTGCATATCATCATCTTTACTATTAGACTTAACTTCTGTTGTACTGCCTGTTTGAGAATCAGTATTTTTCTTTTTGTCAATCTGAAAAAGACTGCCTTGGATTTTAGGTGGGTATTTAACCTCACCTTGATCACTTACACCCCACCTTGAGCTTCCTCCAAATACATACCCACTATCCTGAGATCTGGATCCAGATGTGGGAGTATTTGTTTGATGATCTGTTTTACCTTCTTGATTGCCTTTTCCAGTAATACCATTACTTTGGGTATTTGTTTCAACTCTTTCTGATTGTAATGTAGCCCGCTTCGATATAGCAGCTCTTTCCTTTCTCTGTTTCTTCTTTAACTTTTTCTGCTTTTTGATACGTTTTGTAGGCCCTTTCCCCATGTCTTGTGACCCAGTTGTACTAAATGAATCACCTAAATCATTTTCATCAGATTTAGAGTCCTCTTCGCTATCTGAAGATCCTGATCCCTCTTTTTCAACACCTGTTTCTGATGGGTCATGAATTATATTTACATTTCCTCTCTCAACATTTTGAAGCTTAACTTTCTCTAGTTCAAATGAAAGATCCTTGTTGGGATTTGAAGGTATTATCACCAAGTTGCCGGTTTGATCTTTTATAGATGTACCCTCATTATCTGCTGGTGTCTCAATTATTTCTATATCACTTTCAGAACTATTGTTTTTATCTTCTACATTACTAGCAGGTCCTTCTTCAGATATAGCATTACTAGCTGTGAAAGAACTGTTGGCATTACTGTCAGCTGAGCGTTCTTTGCTTAAATCAACATCCATTCTGCAGTCAGTTTGTGCAGCAGACTGTTCTCCTTTTCTTTCCTCTATCTTTTCCTTTACAATTAAAGGTTGTTCTGTAAAATAATAAGAAATTAATAGAGTAGGGTTGGAATGATAATCGGCCCACAAAATGAATAATGACTTTTTTAAAAGCTTACGATTTTGGTTGCCAACTATCTTAGTAATAGTTCTGGGAAGTGAAGTTTCACAACAGAACACCTAGCTAAGGGCATGATTAATGAAACATTTTAGAGGACAGCCAGGTGATGAAAAAATAATGTATATCTCTTGACATTAAAGTAACCTATTTATGCATTAAACTGGCATCATTTATATCACCTTTAAAGGACCACCTATGGATCATTTCTGTGAATATTGGTCAAAATCCATTAAGTGGTTTTAAAACATTGTGGAAAATGAGAGAAAGACAGACAAACTGCAATCACAAAAGCTCATGTGCTACGGTGAGCTTAACAAGACCACCATAAGGCAGGGGCAACGCTGGACTTTTTCTAAAAGCAAACAAATAAACTGTTTAAACAAATCTTTAAAAAGAAAATTAAAGGAAACAAATTAAGTTTTTCCTTATCTTCATTTAATAGAAAAGATAGTCAAGTTCAATTTAAATTCAATACTGAATATGTTTGTTTGGTAGCAAGTCTTGTTTTTGTAGGTTTAAATCAAATCTTTACATAATTATGTAACAAAATTATGACAATTTAACCAAAATTCAATGCTTTGATCTTGATGGTCAATATCATTTAAAGCTCAAGGTCAAGGTCAGTTCAACCTTTCTGGTCTTGTCCAAAAGGTTATATGAAGATAATCCATTTATAAAAATTACAGTCAATTTAATAGCAACAAGACTATCAGTAGGACAGCACGCTCAACTATTCTAAGTGCTTGATAGTAAAAGAGCCTTGATAATGTAACACTTTCTAAGTTCACAAAAGGGCTATTGTTTTACAAAATCATGTTATAGGCCTTGGCAATGAAATATGAAAATATCTGAGGTGGTATGCAAACTTTAACGTAAATTCTAAGTTGAAAAAGGGTCATAATAATTCTGTCAAAATGCTTGATAGAGTTACCTCCCCTGTCTAGAGGTTGGGGGCATGATTGTGAACAAGTGTGCAAAGTTTCAAAGCCATATGCCAATGGACTTTGAAAATAATTTAGGTCAGGTAAGCAAACTTTAACGTAAATTCTAAGTCAAAAAAGGGGCATAAACTCCTCCTGTCTACAGGTTGGGGTCATAATGGTGAACAAGTGTGCAAAGTTTCAAAGCCATACATCTATGTCAATGGACTTTGAAAATATTTGAGGAGTTAAACGTAAATTGTAAGTCGAAAAGGGGGCATAATTCTGTCAAAATGCTTGATACAGTTACCTCCTTCTGTCTACAGGTTGGGGACATGATGGTGAACAAGTGTGCAAAGTTTCAAAGCTAAGACTTTGAAAATATTTGAGGCATAACAAAAACTTTAACATTAGTGGTTACGCCTACGCTGACGCTCGGGTGACTAGTATAGCTCTACTTATTCTTTTCGAATAGTCTAGCTAAAAAACAGTGAAAATTCAATAATTTAACATTGAGGGTCATTAGGGAGCCAAGGTCAATTTTAGTTACATGAAAATCTTATCCTAAAGACTGTTCTGTTGTTATATGAAGTCAACCCATTCAATAATAACACAGTTATAGCCTGAGTTACATCAAAAAAGAAAATTTCAATAATTTCACCTTCATGGTCAAGGTCATTTATGAGTGAAGTTCAAGGTCTGTCCAATAGTTCAAGGTTTGTCAGATTAACTTAAAGGTCTTAGTCTATCCTTAAGGATTATATGCTCACATTTGAAAACGATTCATTCACCAATAGCAGAAATCAGCAAAAAAAACAATACCTCTACAAGCCAAAAATTGACCATGAAAAGTCAGTTTATCAAACTATAAGTTTTGTTTTCATAAAAAGAACATTTTGTTCAAGCACAATGCTTTGGGTATGTTATGGTAAAGTTTGTAATGTTCAATTTTCTTTGATTTTCTAAATCACAACATTGGTGTCAACTTTTACTTGTAATGATATAATTTCTATGATTTTTATGGAGAATATTAGTGTTTAAATTTTGAAGACTTATTAGTTTAGTCAATTTAATCATGAATTTACTGTTTCCAATCTGTGACTCCATACTACATGTAAATCAAATGTATTATCTTTTGCTAAGTCAATTACAGTGTTATGAAATAGCTTTTGTTTCACAACATTATGTGCAACATGTTTACTGGATCAAAGTACGGTATAAGAAGTTGTTATATTGTTTTAATATATATCCTTAGGTTTAATCAAAGTCAACAAGGAATTATTTTCCTATTTGAACTTTGATTTTGTCCAAGGAAGTACAAATGAATGTAACTAAACAAGAGGGCCATGATGGCCCTGAGGTCGCTCACCTGTATATAGGCCCCCCACCCCCGGGCCAATTTTTACCCAAGGGCTTTTATTTGTTTATTTGAACAGACTTGGTAGACACCCATAAGAAGATATTTCATGCTAAACATCTAAGTTCTAGCTCATTGGCATTTTTAAAAGAAGATTTTTAAAGTTTTTACTATACACATATAGTTAAAAACAATGTCACCCCTGGGGCAGGGCCAGTTTTGACCCCCGGGCGTTTATTTTAACAAACTTTGTAGATATTTACTTAAAGATGTTTCATGCTTAATATCTAAACTCTAGCTATTTGGGTTTTTCCAAAGAAGATTTTTAAGTTTTTGCTATACACATATAAGAAAAATCAATGACCCCCCCGGGCGGGGCAAGTTTTGACCCCAGGGCTTTTATTTGAACATACTTGGTAGACACCCATTAGAACATGTTTCATGCTAAATATCTTAGCTCTAGCTCTTTGAGTTCTTTAAAAGAAGATTTTTTAAGTTTTTACTATATGCATATAGAGAAAATCAATGACCCCCTGGGGCGGGGCCAATTTTGACCCCAGAGCTTTTATTTGAACAAACTTGGTAGACACTCATTAGAAGATGTTTCATGCTAAATATCTTAGCTCTAGCTCTTTGGGTTCTTTAAAAGAAGATTTCTTAAGTTTTTACTATATGCATATAGGGAAAATCTATGACCCCCTGGGGCAGGGTCAATTTTAACCTCAGGGCTTTTATTTGAACAAACTTGGTAGACATTCACTAGAAGATGTTTCATGCCAAATATCTAAGCTCTAGCTCTTATGGTTCTTTAAAAGAAGATTTTTTAAGTTTTTACTATATGCATATGGGGAAAATCTATGACCCCCGGGGCGGGGCCAATTTTGACCCCAGGGCTTTAATTTGAACAAACTTGGTAGACACTCACTAGAAGATGTTTCATGCTTAATATCTTAGCTCTAGCTCTTTGGGTTCTTTAAAAGAAGATTTTTTAAGTTTTTACTATATGCATATAGGGAAAATCAATGACCCCCTGGGTCCGGGCCAATTTTGACCCCAGGGCTTTTATTTGAACAAACTTGGTAGACACTCACTAGAAGATGTTTCATGCCAAATATCTAAGCTCTAGCTCTTACGGTTCTTTAAAAGAAGATTTTTTAAGTTTTTACCATATGCATATAGGGAAAATCAATGACCCCCAGGGGCGGGGCCAATTTTGACCCCAGGGCTTTTATTTGAACAAACTTGGTAGACACTCACTAGAAGATGTTTCATGCCAAATATCTAAGCTCTAGCTCTTATGGTTTTTTAAAAGAAGATATTTAAAGTTTTTTCTTTTGGTTGCCATGGCAACCAGAGTTCTGCATGGAATTAAATTCTTTGAACAATTTTTAAAGGTGACCACCAAAGGAACATTCCTGTGAAGTTTGGATGAAATTGGCTCAGTGGTTTATGAGGAGATGTCATTTAAAGCAAAAGTTTACAGACGGACGGACGGACGGCCGGACGCCGGACGAAAAGCGATCACAAAAGCTCACCCTGTCACTTTGTGACAGGTGAGCTAAAAATAAAAATCAAATAGATAAAAACAAAAAAACACTCTTAATCAAAAAATATAACAAGAGCTGTCACAGGAGACAGCGAAGCTCGACTAATAAAATACTGGACGCAGTAAGGAGGACAAAACTATGAAAGAAAAATCAATTATGTATAATTATGTATTAAGTTATAGTAAAAAAATAACATTTGTTAACATAAATTCCAGATCAAGGGGAATAATTCTAAAAATAGTCATGCTAGAGTTATGGACCTTTTCACACAACATGTGTGTTATGATAAGAAATATATATTTGAAGTTTGAAGTAGATACCTTAAAAAGTAAAGAAGTTATTATATTTCTTAAAGCAAATCCTAAGTTCAAAGAGAGATAAATCTGTAAATATTACTTCTAGAGTTATGAACATTGTCACATAAAATGTAATTGATGATAAAGAATAAGTATTTGAAGTTTGAGTTAGATACCTTTAAAAATAAAAAAGTTTATATAAAAAATAACATTTTTCTAGTAAAAAAATCTAAGTTATGGGGAGATAATTCTTGCAATATTGGAGCTAGAGTTATGAACCTTGTCACATAAGATATGGATGATGATAAGGTACATATATTTTGAAGTATGAAGTTGATCCCTTAGAAATAAATAAGTTACAGTAAAAAATAATATTTTTTTAAGGAAAATTCTAAGTTCAAGGGAGATAAATCTGAAATTATTTGTGCTAGAGTTACGAACCTTGTCACATAAGATGGGGATGATGATAAGGTACATATATTTGAAGTATGAGGGTGATCCTTTAAGAAATAAAGAAGTAACAGTAAAAAATATTATTTTTTAAGGAAAATTCTAAGTTCAAGGGAAGATAAATCTTAAAAAAATTGGTGCTAAAGTTATGAACCCTTGTCACATAAGATGGGGATGATGATAAGATACATTTATTTAAAGTATGAGGGTGATCCCTTAAGAAATAAAGAAGTTACAGTAAAAAATAGTATTTTTTAAGGAAAATTCTAAGTTCAAGGGAGATAAATCTGAAAATATTGGTGCTAGAGTTATGAACCTTGTCACATAAGATGTGGTTGATGATAAGGAACATATATTTGAAGTTTGAAGTTGATACCTTAAGAAATGACAAAGTTATAGTGAAAAATATTTTACTGCACCAAAAAATTTTAATTTGGGAAAACTGGGCGCGGGCGCCCGGGCGCCGACGCCGACCCGGGGGGGTAGGGCACTTTCTCCATATACTTTGTATAGTCGAGGGTAAAAATGTTTGAAGTTCAGAGGTTAAAAAAGGGTATAAAACCGAAAAAAAACCTTTTATCTTTCTCTTCCATAAAAATTTTTTTCTTTCCCAAAATAAAATTTTAAAAAAAAAGTTAATTGTTTTTAAAGCCCCCGTTAATATGTTTTTAAACAACATTTCCCGGCTTTTTTTTTCCTCAAAAAGTTTTTTAAAAATTTTTTTAAACACTGCACACCTCCCCTTACTATCAATTTAAATTTTTGTTTAAGGCCAAACCCTTTATTTTTTAAAAAAATTTCCCCTGCAGTTTCGGGATTGTAAACTTGGGTATTTGTTAAAAATGTAGAGAAAGAAAGGAAATACCCAAAATAAAGTTAAAATGAAACTAGATTAAGCGAGGATGTAAAATATAACATTTAATAATTTACTTACTTGTAACATATTTTCTATGACCACATTCTGTACAGAATGACTTCCCTGTTAGCAGGATATTGCTACAATTACTGCATCTTTCCTCTTGAAGGTTAAATAATGACTGGTCTACTTTTATTCCACAATCGGGACAAAACTTTTGTCCCTTCACAAGCTCTGAATGACAAGGGTCTCCATTGTCTTGTTTGCCATTGCATATAACAACAGTCTCTGTTTTAACTTCTTCAATCATCTTTGACCCACACTCATGACAAAACTTGCCCGGCCCCACAGCACCACATGTGCTGTCAGAGCACCTCATATTGCAGAACTATTCCTCTTAATTTCTGAAACATGAACACTAAGTTAAAAATATCTAAACAAACTTTATAAGATTTTTAAATAACAGGAATTAATGCCCTGAATCACTCACTTGAGAGACATAATAAATGCTAAAAAGTTAAAGCCAGTAATGAGGTCACATTGGGTTTTTTCTTTTATTCCCTTTTTTCCAGGCTGCATTATTTTTAAAATACGTGTAGATGTCTGCTATGATTAATATTTAAGCTATTAGCTATGTAATTTCACACAAGAAGACTTAACTGATCGTTTTACTATGTAAGTCTATGTCAAGTAATTGACCCCTAGGGTAGGCCAGTTTTAACCCAAGGGACATGATTTATATCAATTTTGTAGAGGACCACAAGGTGAAAGTGCATGCCAAATATCCAAGCTTTGGGTATTGTAGTTTCGAAGAAGTCTTTTAAGACATTTTTACATTGCAAGTCTGTGAACAAAAATACCACAATTAAGGGCATGGCCATGTTTGACCCCAGAGGGATGACTTATATAACCTATTTGTAGATGTCCATTTAGGCAATTAGTTATATGCAAATAATCTAAGCTTCCCCGGGAAAGTGGTGTTTTGAAAAAAGAAAATTTAAATGTATTTAAACCTAAACTAAAGACCCCATGGAAAGGCTGAAAAATTTTAAGCTTTTGTAAGACCATAAGTATGTTAATGCAAAAATATCTCTTGCCAGAGAAGAAATATCCGTGGGCACAAGCCAATTTTTAGATGTCTACTTGAAAATGCTACAAGCCAATTACCTAACTCTGGGCATTGCCATTTTTTCATAAAGAACTTTTTTAATGTTTTTTTCCTATTTAAGCATATGGGGGAAACTAAAGTGTTCCCTTTAAGATGGGGCAATATGTGACCCCAGGGCCATTCATTTCTATTACTTTTGGTTTGAAGGCCCCAGGGTTTTTCAGAGGTAAAAATGGCCCCAAAAATTTTAACCTGGCATTTTTATTTGAAAAAAAGATAATTTTTTAAAATTTTAAATTTTTTTTTTTTTAGTCAATTTTTTTAGCCCTGTTTGGGCCCACTTATTACTCAAGGGAAAATGTTTTTATTACTTTTTGGGGAGAGAAACCCCCAAGGGGTTTATCCTGTTAAAATTTGGTCAAAATCCCTTTTTGTTAAATTTTGGAGAATGTTATTTTTAAAAAAATTTTGGACAACGATTAAAGAGGGGGCACCCCTTTCCCCTCTTTTGAATAGCAAAAAACTAAAAAAACCCCAAAAAAAAAGACCCATTATTTTGAATGAAAAATTTCCTTCCCAAAACCATTTCTTAAAGGGCAAAAAACAAGCCTTTTTAAGTTAAAACCTTTACCTTTTGGGGCTTGCATGAGGCTCATCAGCTCAAGGTGCCTAACATTTTATGTTTTTATTTTATAATTATTTCAAATTCAATCCATCAATGACCCAAAAATATGGGCGGGGAAAAAAAAATTTGGAATTTTGACCCCTTTACCTTTGCAATGAAAACCTTTTATTTTGGGGAGCTGCAGGTTTTGTTCAAAAACAATCATGCCAAATATTTTAAAAAAGCATTTTAGAAATGGGGGGGTTTTTGCCCGGGAAAAGGGGCAAAAAAGCACTTTCATGAAAAAAAAAACTTTTTACATAAAAGATTACCTTTTCCTTTGAAGTGGATTTTTCTAATTCCCGCAGGCTACATGTTATCTCTGTCCGGGGTATTGGGGTTAAAAAATTTTTTAAAAAACTTTTGGGGAAAGAAATGATTTTTTGACCGGGAAAAGCCATCAATGTAAAATTTATGAAAATTAAAAAATCAAAAATTTTATTTTCAAAATGTTTTACCCCGCCTTTTTAAGCTGGGGTAACTATTTTTTGCATGCAACACATAGTAATCATTTTCCCAAAACCCGCCCTTGATTTTTTAACATACAAATATAACCTTAAACCCTTTTAAGCTTGAGACCTAATTCTTATGTACATGCATGATACATCATCATCATGTCCATCACATTAATGCCAATTTAATTTTTAAAAGCATTTTAAGAATGGGAAAGTTGTTGACCTTAAAATATTATCAATCCACTTAAATGAAAAATTCCTTTTAAGTCAATGTGTGACCTTGACTTTTGCCCTACAAATCTGGATCTTGCATGTGACCCATTAATTGTCTCACATGCTTCAAATTTATGCTATATTATTTCAAATCCAACTGTTATAAGTTATGATCCGGATAAAGTATGGAAAGAATGACATCCTTTAGGGATAGACATTATGGGTTGTTCTTTTCATCCCTTAATTTATTTTTTTCAACCCATCATGTGCCCCTTTTCAACCCCAGAATTACAGTTTATATCTAATATACATGTATGAACCTTATAATGTCCAGTAATTTTTTCCACTTTTTGGGGGAGGGGGAATGCAATAGGAGGGGGATTTTATTTCATCACAAATGAGGAGAAACGAAAAGGAATGGATTTTTTTTCTGTAAGATTTACTGTTCTGTCATATTAATGTTTTCTTTCCGGTAGAAAAGGGGAGCAACTCATGCAACACAAGTTTAAATTAGGTCGCTTTTTCTTAATATATGGATCTAAACTGTCGACAGCAGAATTTAAAGCAACACATGTTTAACTTGTCGTGACACCGGGAGTTGCACCCCATTTATTTTGGTGAAAGAAAACACTTCATGTTAAATCCTTGTCTGCTGAATAATTAAGAAGGGATAGGCCATGGTTTATATAACCCAGAAAGATCATTGCACCTAATCAATAGATGACATCTAATAATTTTGAGGTCATTGGGTCAAAAATCAAGGTCACAGTGACGCTAAATGTAAAATCATTGACCAGTCAATATGTTGTATAAATGACAGTATCTCGTGGCCACGACTTAGTTATCTCGTGGCCAGAACTTAGTAACTCGTGGCCAGGACATAGTATCTCGTGGCCACGACTTAGCTATCTCGTAGGCACGACTAAGGCACTCGTGGCCAGGACATAGTATCTTGTGGCCACGACTTAGCTATTTCGTGGCCACGACTTAGTAACTCATGGCCACAACACAGTATCTCTTGGCCACGAAATAGTTATCTCATGGCCACGACATAGTATCTCGTGGCCAAGACATAGTATCTCGTGGCCACGACTTAGTAACTCTCGTGGCCACGACACAGTATCTCGTGGCCATGAAATAGCCATCTTGTGGCCACCACTTAGTATTTCATGGCCACGACATGCCCAAGAGATAAATAAAAACACACACATGTCACCTTTGTGCAACCGTAATTACTTGTATGCATGATATTTTACTCATTAAAGACATAAATTTATTCAATATGGTAATATAGGGCAAAATTCTGATATCTTATTTTCATTGTATTGTCTTCTTATCTATACACAGGTGGCATTATTGGTACACTCTTTACAGACAAATTATATGTACATGTACATGTAAGTTTTTAGCACATGTTAGCAAGGACTGAATTCTTAACATTCCAATCCCATGTTTATATTAGGTCATGTTTTGACAACATACAGGTGAAAGTGATTTATATTAAATACAAAATTTTTTGTACCTCCTGTTGATCCGACACTTAGATTTGGTTTTGTTCACACATCTGCATGATTTATACTCAACATCACTAATTCCGCGTCATCCCTTAATTAACGGTAATGGCATATTTTCATATGACCGGTGTAAAACTTGGTCAGAATTGACATATTTTATTCAAACATCAAAACAACAAAGCTTTTGTGCAAAAAAAATTTAAATCTCTAGATTTTAATGTAAAACAGAACAACATTTTTACAAATTTCTGCCAAAAGCAACAGTAGTCCGTTAAATTTTTGCATCCGTTTGAAACAATCATCATTTTCTAAATGTTCTTGTTTGTTGAGAAAATAAATTTTTAGTTACAAAGTAAGCTTAATTTTAATATTTAAAATCAAGCAAATTAACATGTAGAAATTTTAACTGAAACATGAAAAAACTGAAATGTAACACCATTACCGCGATTTAAAAGATGACACAATGTTTTCAAAATGGCCGACATATGGTCTATGTTTGGTCCATTAAAATTAACTTTGACAGAATATATTGTTGTTTCATTGTGACATGCAGCAGAAAATACCTATATGTTATATTTTATGTCAATTTTTGTACCATAAGAATAATTGGTTGTATTCTTTCTGGATTCAAAGCATTAAGTACCGTGAACTAAGAGGAGAACAGTATAATAATTTTAATATCAATTTTTAAAGAATGCAATTAAAAATCAAGCGTTTAACAGTTTGATTCATACACCAGCCTTATTAAAGCTTAATGTGTATTTCTAATGATACAGTCGGACAAACAGAAGCTGGGGCATTTTATGAGGCTCGATAACGGCGGCACGAAATACCCAAATATACCCAAATACACCCAAATATACCCAAATATAGTATTATTTATTTTTGTTTGTATAAAATATAGATTATAATGAGAAATAAATAAATATTTATAAAATACAATGACTTAGCCTGCTAAAGCTTTCATTCATTCCGTTGAAATGGGCAGTTAAGATGTTGTAAGAAAATAAAGTTGTGACATTTGCTTATGTATTATATAGGATAAGGTTCTTTATGAATGTACTTTCAATTTTAAATCAAGATATGATATTTGTTGTCTACACTTAGATTTTTAAGGGGTAATTTTGTTGAAATTTCATATCATATACAAGTGTCCAATGTTATTTAAAAAAATAGCTTTAATGGAGTACATAATTATACTGTATTTTGGTTCAAAACGCAGTGATAGGAAAATGTATATTTGGGTATGTTTGATTGTATCTTAGTGAAAGTGTATATTGTATTCATGATTAAAACAGCACTTTTTTAGTATAAAACCTTTTTTTTTAGTATAATTGGGAAATATTTGGGTATATTTTGGCAATATTTGGGTATATTTGGGCAATATTTGGGTGTATTTGGGTATATTTGGGTATTTCGTGCTGCCCCTCGATAATCATTTTTTTAAAAACGAAAGTAGATTCTAATTTTCTGCACTCATTCTATTACGCACAGACAACAGTGCGTCTAAAATATTTTTGTTTTCATTCTCCATCTATTACTATGACGGAAAATAGTCAGCAACAAAAAGCGCATATTTAAACATGAATCTGCTTATTCAAATGTACCTGTCAGTATTTTTCCAGGGTTAAAACTTTAGCAAAAAGATATCGTTTTTTTTCAATGACCAAAGCGAAAGTATAACGGCCCTCTAGCGGATTAGGTTTCACGCAACCAATTTATAAGGCAGAATACTACTATATGTGTTCCTTCATTGACTGAGTTAACTCTTAATTAAACAGATCTATAGATATGTCCAGATTGTTTCAACAACAGCCATTTAAAACTTTATATTATTAATCTTTATCATATTTTGACACAAATAGTAAAAATAACAAAAGTTTGCCGTCTTAATTGCTTGAAAAATATTGACGATTTAAGTAAAATTGTGTATCGATCAGTTCAACAACAAATATGGTTTCATCAATTAAATAACAGTTTTACTTATTTCGTCTTCATTTACAGTAACTTTAGAAGTGGTAAGAAACACCCATAGTTTTGAAATGAAAAGAAACAAAACCAAAGAAATGTATATCTGAAAAAGAAACTGGTTTAGTGTTAAAAAGGAGAGGAGTCATATTTTTCAATTTTCTATGGGACATCCTTGTATCTGCATATAATTTCTATCTAGATACAGTTTGTGCAAAAAGGAAGGTTTACCATACCGATTTAGAAATATTAACATTTTAAACCTGAAACATAAATTTGGTAATATATTCATATTCAAGAATTTTCAACAAAAAAAAAAATGAAAACCACAATCTTACCAAACAAAAAAATGAATAAGAACAATAAATAAAAAATAAAAAATTGGCTCCTACATAGGACTTGAACAATCTTTATATCCTCAGTGAAAATGAATACTCTTCACATAGGAACAGACTGGTCTTGCTGGGCCTAATCCAGTTCTGTATATTGGTAGGAAAAAAGTTTTATTTATTTCTATACTAAAATCTGATCTTAACTTAATGATTAAACTATTCATGTACAGTACTGTATAGCTATTCTTTGAAGAATGATAAGAGACTATTTACATGGCATTCAATAAATGTCTTCAAACATGATTTCATCACTGGACCAAGCTTTCATATAACAACAAAATGAGCTTTTGTTAAAAAAGAGCTGTGAAATCATGTCAACATTGTATATGGCAAGTATTGATGTAAAAATTTATAATTTTGCATTTTTTTCTGTTCAATATGACCACGGATTTGTAATATAAATCCGTGATATGACTTATATTTTAGAAAATGAAACACTTATATATATTGACTGTACAATATTTCGTTAATAATCACCCATTCATTTATTATCATTTGATAGTCTTTTTATGAATAATTGTGTTCGTGAGTTCAGGTGTGTCAAAGTCCCAACGACAGGATTAAGAAAATGTCATAAAACAGCTTTGAGACAACATAAGGCGACATTGTTCAAAATGTTTGGTGATTCATACACGAAAACTCATCATATTCGGAAATTTAAAAAAAATGTTTTGACTGACAAACTATTTGCGTTTTAACAAAATATTTAAGTAGTTAAAAAAACTCATTAGAACGTATGAAAATAAATGAAAGTTTGGCATCTCTTAATCCTGAATAACATCTAACAAAATCTAACAAAATTGAAAAAGACATAGGCCTACAGATCTTTGAAAAACTTGTGGACGGATTATCTTAATTTAAAAATCAATGTCAATATTCATATATTACGTTACATTTTAATTTAATGATACTAGTAGTGGTTTCCTAGGATAGAAGTCCAACAGACTAAATTAACTATGTGTTAAAAAGATATGTATCGCAAATGAAAAAGCAGATTCGATTTTTTTTCGAATCTCCTGTCGCCATTTCTACATTATATATTTAAATAATTTTTCAAACTCTTGTGAAGTTAAGATGGGTGGTGGAATAACACACCTTTTGTCCGGTTCCTTAATTGTAACACATGGAAATTCACGTCATGTACACTATTTGTCACTTCACAAAATCAATAAACATTGATGAGATTGGTATAAATAAAAATTACTTAAATTACGATTAATCATTTTCATAATTTTAAGTAATTAATAATGCCATGGTACTAAAACGATCCGGTTGAATGATATTGTTAATTAAGTAGCTGGCAAATAATTAACAACCGGTCACGTGTCAATCTGTTTGACACTTACCGCCTTGCCAATCCACTTTCAAAGAAATACCAATTGTGTAATATTATGTAATACATGGGTAATAAAATGTGATCTTTAACACCCTGCTGTTATAGTTTAAATTACTGATGAAAAAGTCACCTAATGATACCTTAACCAGAGGACTTTCGGTCGTTGAATTATAAGTCCCGCTAATTTTGTATATCTGTTATAAATATCAATTCACGTTTTAAATACTCACCGCTTTAATTCATCCCAAAATTTCTTTTTTCTGGGTGACATAACTTGAAATCACGCCTTTTAAGTGCGCTAAATGTATGCTATCGTTATTGCGCTTTTGCCCTACGCAGAATGCGCATGCGCGAAATGCAACATAAGTTGCTATGGAAAAATCGTTATGTAAAAAGGTCTATAGTTCTCAACAATGTATAGACCATTCTTAATATTCTACAGCTATTTTTAGAAAATGAACCTGAACGAGGCTTAACTGGAAATCTGATAAGCCAGTATCAGGACTTATCTTTGGTTTCTCATTTGTAGAGTTATATTATAAGTTATAAAGATCGTTGACAGGTTATATATGGCCCTATATAAATGGCTATTTGTAAATATAACCCGAGCCGTCAGGCGAGGGTTATATTACAAACAGCCGTTTATATACGGCCATATAACTTGTCAACGATCTTTATAACGAATTTATAATACAGCAAGCATCATTTTTAGAGAAAAAAAGGTAAGGTTTCTCCATGAATCGACAGCAGCCGTGTATATTATTAGTTATAAAGATCGTTGACAGGTTATATGGCCCTATATAAACGGCTGTTTGTAAATATAATCCGAGCCGTTAGGCGAGGGTTATATTGCAAACAGCCGTTTATATACGGCCATATAACTTGCCAACGATCTTTATAACGAATTTATAATACAGCAAGCATCATTTTTAGAGCAAAAAGTAAGATTTCTTCATGAATCGACAGCAGCCGTATATATAAAACTATTTAAACGTCACGATTATCCAATGAAAAGCGACGTTACAAACGTGCAGTATCATAAAAAAACAATATAAACGTCACGATTATCCAATGAAAAATGACGTTACAAACGTGCAGTATTATAAATTAAACAAAACAAGATTCATCAGGACAGAAATCACTCTATAAAGAATTCTATTATATATTTGTGAGGTATCCATTTATGATTAAAGAGGTGAGAAAGACAAGAGATATTTTTACTTTCGGTTTCAATTTTGCTATTTCCTAACATAAGCTTTATATATAAATCTGTGGTGCCTTTTCATATATAATCTTATTTGTTCTATTTATTTACGGATTTTTGATGCCAACATAAAGGTAATTGCAAATTGAATCACAAGATAAGCCCCTAATGACCTGTGTAAAATCTTAATCAGATGTGTATTGGGCAGATTTTATCAAACATGTATTGACTTAGTTATAAGGATCTTTTACCATAGTATCTGAAATAAACTAATACCTAGCCAAACTCTGTGTATACATGTACTTTATGAATTGTAATTTGTACTTCCAGTCCAGTTCTACCGGCCAGCAGATAATGGTTACACAATATATGGCAAATGCCATAGATAACAGAGAAAGCATGAATTTCATTATTTATTTCAAGACTAAACTTTAATATTTCCTCATGATATTGTTTTTTGTTATCCTTTTATTTATTAAAATACCAATAAATATACATAATAAGATTAACAATATATTACATAAGACAAATGTTCAATAAACTCACTCAAGTCACAGAATGCTACACAAAAGTAGCATTAAGAGTAGAAATTTGAGGACATTTTACGAATGACCATGTTCCCCATACCACTCCCACCCCCAATGATTTCATTAATATTATGCCATGATAAACAAATAAACGACCAACGCAACGTATTTAATCTCTACATACATAGCAATACAAAACAAAATACAACACATGCATGTATTTTGTCACTTTTCATAAGTGCCAATCAAAAACAATATTTTAATTAACACTTTCTTTTTGTAATACACAAGGAAATAAAATATAAAATCAACAAACAAATTTACATTATAAAAGAAAATCAACAAATTGTCTGTAGAAAACTTAAACATAAATGAACACCAATCCAAAACAGTTGGATATAATAAACAGCAACATTAAATAGTTAATGTAGTGTCAAGTATCAGTAACAAATAAAAGTAAACACAATAATACATGATATAATTATAACTCAATTCAACAAAAATATCACATCATTTTATGATTATCACTTGTGTTTCATTGCTTTTATGACCATCACAGTCTCCATATTTCTCATGCTCGCAAACTTCACATTTTTATACCTATACAAGATTGTGCAAGCCTAGCTAGTAATAATATGACAATGAAAATACTTCCTTCTACTGTACAGTTTATCACAACTATTATAAGGCCATAGATTTTGTGTGCAACACACAAAAACAAAGGACACTAGCGTATGTATTATGACTGTCTGCCTTTTTCCTTCAAAATATTTCTTACACCCGTCACAGATTTGAACATTTGGTTTTGTATGTCTTTGTCAGTCCCCACATTTACAATGAGAATATTTCTCAATATCTTCTATAGTTTCCAGTCTGTTTTTCTCTCAACATAACGTATGTACACACCCATGTATGAACACTGTATTTATATAAAATGTCTTTTGGGAAGTCTGCTAATACTGCCAAATCTAACAGAGGATTGTCCATGCTGTCTACATATTCAGGCAGCCATTCTCCAAGTCTGTAATAAAAAAAGACATTTACAATAAATAATGCTTAATATATACTGAAACAAAAAAGAAACTTTCTCCAAGTTTGTATGTAGATATGTTAGTACAGTTTTTCAATCCTATTGAGTTGAATAAACATGTCGGGCTTTTATACCGATTTTGCAAACAAAACGAGTTTTAGAAGCTACTACATGTATATAAGTGTGTACATCTAAGTGGTACCATTGAACAACTGGCACATACTTTG